GCCTCTGTTGCTATTGAGGGCGGCAGAGAAGGATTAACTTTGATTGGACAATCACTGGTGTTACACAGCGGTTCTTATTTAAAAGCTGATAAACTCTCAATTGATGTCAACAATTTTGTAATCGAAGAATTGGCAGTGATGGACTTAAATGAAGTGGTATGTTATTTATATCCACGTTCATATTGTATTACTACACTGGTGTTAATATTTGTATCTGACCTAATAACAGTTAAAATAAATAAAGAACAAAAATAGAGGTGTAACTTGGTGATTAAGATGTTCGCTTTCCAATCTATTGGTTCTAGATTCAAATCTTGTGACTGGTCAGTTTTTATCTCACGACTGAAAAACATCTTATTATCCTAAGCCTAATAAGACTTTGTTTGTTAATAATCTGGTTTGGTCACCTTTATATGTATGATATATTAGGGAAAAAAAACAAATACTAAAATAATGAAATGAAAAATTTTTTTCAAGCCTCTTGATAAAGGTCAAAAATAAGAAGAGGAAATTGTTTTCGTTATTATTATTTCTTACCTTATAATTAAAGAAACAAGAAGATTTAAATCAAACAAGATTGAGCTGTCTTGTTCCGTCAAGTAAGCTGTGTTGTTTAGACACCGATCGCCCTGTTTTTTAAAGCTAATAATGACTTTGTCTTTTGTAAATAAAAAAATTTAAAAAATATAATGATTTGCATTCAAAATTCAGTACATTTGTATTATTTAGGAACACGATGGTGGAATTGGTGGAGGAACAAATTCTGCTGGTTCTGGTCATGGTGGTATGGGAGGTAGAGGAGATAACAATCATGGTGCCGGCCGTTTTTATGGAAACTTATTTCATCCTGATATGTTTGGATGTGGTACTGGAGACGATGAACATCGAGTGGGAGGAGGTGGTGTTCTACTGATAAAATCAACATTGATCCAAATTGATGGTAAATTGAAATTGTTTATCTAAAAAAAAAATTGACCTTGTGCTATCTTCTCCATGTCATTTAGAAAGGTTTGTTAGATCTTGTTACATAAAAAGCAATAAGTATAGTTGAGTGGAGTGACAACTTGAGGTGGTGATTTTACTACAGTACCAAATCAGTCCCGATAACATCCCCTACTAACATGACAGTGTGAGCTCCAAAATTTATTCGGAAATGCTAGAATCAATCGTCCATGAATTCATTCACATCATTGTTATAGGCACAAATATATACTTGCTAATATTGAAGTTGAGGAAAAACCACATCAATATAAAATTCTTATTGTTGTGCCTGAGGTCATGACAGACTGCCATGCCACACACCAGATGCGATCCTGTCTTGTTACGGCAGCAAAGAGAATAACCACCAACAGCGTTGTAATGAGACCCGTCTGTGATAGAGCAGTCAAAGAAAAGTTTTGTGAAGACTTGCATGTTTACCAATGTTTCAACAAAGCCCAATAACAATTAACATGCCTTTGAATAATGAGTTGTCCAAGGCATTTGGTGTTTGTTCATTGTAGGTGACATTACCGTAAATGCTTGAATAAGCGCCACAACAAATCTGATTTATTTTGCTACTAGCTGCGCCCTCGAATAAGCACAGATTATTGCCCTGTGTGTAATGAAACACTCTGAGAAACAGGGTTTTAAATACAAAATACAGTGTTAAAATGAATAAATAACACAATGAAGACACAAACGGCTTTACACACACACACACACACACATATATATATATACATGGGCCCATATACATGGGCAGTATAATCAGAGCCCACAACAAACAGCTTCTGGTTGCTAAACAACAACAGCCAGATAAACTCTGCAATTGCAGGAAAAAAGATGAATGTCCACTCTCTGGAAATTGCCTCACCTCATCCATCATCTACAAAGCCACTGTCCACTCAAATGATGACACAAAATGCTACAT